CAAAGCCAGCCCAGGCGGAAAGGTCTGTAAGACGCATCTCCAATAAACCACTTAGAAAACTGGAAGTGTCCCTGTAGCTCATGTGGTAGAGCACTAGCCTTGAGCTGCAGATCTGAGGGACAGTTCTGAGGCCCAGAGTTCAAGCCCTACGACAACTACCACCACCACTAAAAATCCCAACTAGCTCATGTTGCAAATCATTCACATAAATGCTTCTCTTTCAGACAACTGCTAGAATATAGAATTGTTTTTATGTGTACTTCTTGTCACAATGTTATAAAGATGTGTATATGACAGTTGATAGTTACCAAAATAATTTTTGTTGCTGGGTACTATTGGTTCATCCCTGCAATCCTAGCTACTGAGGAGGCTGAGACCTGGAGGATGGAGGTTCCAAGCCAGCTGGGCAGAAAAGTCTTCAAGACTACATTTCCAATTTACCACCTGGTAGACTGGAGGTGTAACTCCAGTGGTAGACTGCCAGCCCTGAGTAAGAATGCTGAGGATGAGGCCCTGAATTCAGGCCTAGTAACAAGACAAAATAGTAATAATAATTACTATTACTGCTGCTTCATGAAGTTCTTTTTTTTTTTGTTGGTCATGGGGCCTGAACTCTGGGCCTGGGCACTGTCCCTCAGCTCTTCAGCTCAAGGCTAGAGCACTCTGCCGCTTGAGCCATAGCCAGGCTGGCTTTGAACCAAAATCCTTAGATCTCAGTATCTGAGGATTTATAGGCATGAGTCACCAGAGCCCCACATCAAGAAAACTTCTCAATGAAACTGGCCTATACCCTATCCCACTTGGTATTTGTGGTGTTTTGAGAACGTAATGACTAATGATAGAATTTGGTGTTGCTTAATTGCTTTGCTTGAGTCCTATTAAATCTGCAGTGTCTACCTACCATTACTTTTATACTGTCAGTGCTTGGTATCGTGGTGCAAACTATAAAAATAGTTTTGACTTCATGAATTCTCTGAGAGAGGGATTCATAACATTTTGAGAACTGATAGTGTCAATGATTAATAGGATGGCTTTGATTGCTACTGGTATTTGAAAATAAAAAATCCTTATTTCATTCTCTAGGTAAAACTGAATTGCAACTCTTGAGCCTTTAACATGATTTTAGTAATTGTGGTCTTGCCTTTGAAATTTAAAAAAATGTTAACTATAAGTTTGTATGATAATGCATTCTTTTTTAAAATACATTTTTTAATTTATATTTTTGTGCTTTTAAATAGCATACCATTTAATATTTGGGCTCAAAGTGAAGGAGCTCATTCTGTTACAGACACTGGGTAGCTTTGTTTCTGATAGCTAGTAGTCAACTGTGTTTTTAAATCAATTGTTGGGTCTTGCTGGCTCAACTTCCAAGTTGTCCTAGTCCTAACCCCGTTTTAGCCAAAGACTGTTGTTGGAAAGAACACACAAAGGCCTTGTGTCCTTGGTGCCCTACTAACAAGGAGCATGTTCTCATTCTAGTGGATTAAATCTGCTGTGGTGTGCATTCCATTTCCAAATTTCGTTCTTCCTTTGGCTGGTTATTTCAGTAACAGATCATTTTAATGTGATATAGCTTTTTCTAATTACATAGTCCTAGAGAGAATTACCAGAATAAGCTTTTTCCTATTATTACATAGTAGTGGAAGGGATTACCAGAGTAAAATAAAATGTTTCTTTCTCTGTGGTAGGATGTGATGGAGCTGCTTGAAGAAGATCTCACCTGCCCAATTTGTTGCAGTCTGTTTGATGATCCTAGAGTTTTGCCTTGCTCACACAACTTCTGCAAAAAATGCTTGGAAGGTCTCTTAGAGGGAAATGTGCGCAATTCTCTGTGGAGACCATCTCCATTCAAGTGCCCTACATGCCGTAAGGAAACTTCAGCTACTGGAGTCAATAGTTTACAGGTCAATTACTCCCTGAAGGGTATTGTGGAAAAGTATAACAAAATCAAGATCTCTCCCAAAATGCCAGTGTGCAAAGGACACTTGGGCCAGCCTCTCAATATTTTCTGCTTAACTGATATGCAGCTGATTTGTGGGATCTGTGCTACTCGGGGTGACCACACCAAACATGTCTTCTGTTCTATTGAAGATGCCTATACTCAGGAAAGGGATGCCTTTGAGTCCCTCTTTCAGAGTTTTGAGACCTGGCGTCGGGGAGATGCTCTTTCTCGCTTAGATACCTTAGAAACTAGCAAGAGGAAATCCCTACAGTTACTGACTAAAGATTCAGATAAAGTGAAGGAATTTTTTGAGAAGTTACAACATACTTTGGATCAAAAGAAGAATGAAATCCTGTCTGACTTTGAGACCATGAAGCTTGCAGTCATGCAAGCCTACGATCCGGAGATCAACAAACTCAATACCATTTTGCAGGAGCAACGAATGGCATTTAACATTGCCGAGGCTTTCAAGGACGTGTCAGAACCGATTATATTTCTGCAGCAGATGCAGGAGTTCAGGGAGAAAATCAAAGTAATCAAGGAAACTCCTTTGCCTCCTTCTAATTTGCCCTCAAGCCCTTTAATGAAGAATTTTGATACTAGTCAGTGGGAGGACATAAAACTAATAGATGTGGATAAACTTTCTTTACCTCAAGACACTAGCACATTCATTAGCAAGATTCCCTGGAGCTTCTACCAGCTATTTATGGTAGTCCTTCTGCTTGGCCTTATTTTTTTCTGTCCTACCTTATTCCTAGAATGGTCTTTATTTGATGAATTGGCAAGGTGGAAGGACCATTTTTCAAACTTCAGTTATTATCTAACTAAATCAGCTGGTTTTATAGAACAATCAGTTTTTTACTGGGAACAAGTGGCAGACATGTTTTTCATTTTCAGTGAAAGAGTTAAGAATTTTACTTTGGTGGTACTGAACAATGTGGCAGAATTTGTGTGCAAATATAAACTATTATAAAATCTCTTTAGCTCTGCAGTTTTTTTTTTCGTAAACAAAACGGATAGAAATTGATATAAGGGTAGTAACTCAGATTTAGTCAAGATTCCAGTCATTTTCTTCCAAAAGTTTTTCTGTTTAATGTAATGTGTATACATGTTCAAATTTGGTAAAAATAAAGATAAAAGTGAAGTTTTCATGTGGTGGAGTACTTGTTTAACAATCACAAGCCCAAGCTGAGCCCCTACTGTTACCACCTGAAGGGTTGGAAAGAGAGTATGAATAGGTTGGGTTTCCAAGTTTTTCTAGAGGGCTGATCCCTTTCTCACCAAAATGTAAATTTTATGTGAAGAAAAACTGGCTAATGACACAAAGCATTTTTAGGAGGATGGATATTCTGTCAGTTTTTCACCAAAGATGACATGCTATTAGGTGACTGTGCAAAAATGTTGTTTTTGTTGGTTAGTTTTTATGGTTGTACTAAGGTTTTAACTTAGAACCCCGTGCTTACTAAAAAAAAGTGCTTTGCCACTTGAGCTATACCCTAACCCCAAAACATAAGTTTAACAAAAAGATTGCATGCAGTCATCTTTTTTTTTTCCACTGGCAGCAGAGTGTTGTGGTTTTAAGTATGAAGCAAGTGTCCAATCTACTTACTCTACTTGCTTATAGAATTTGAGCCCATAATCCTAGCTACTTGGGAGGCTGAGATAGTGAAGCTTGCAGTTTGAGGCCAGCCTGGGCAGAAAAGGTGGTGAGATTCTTTCTCAACTAATAGCTGGGCTCCCTGATGTGTACAAGTAATCCCAGAAAATTAAGACCCTGTCTTATATTATTTAACAAACAGCCAGGTGCTGGTGGCTCACACCTGTAATTTTAAGATCTAAAGATGGAGGTTCAAAGCCAGCATGGACAGGAAAGTCCACGAGACTCTAATAAACCACTCAGAAAACCGAAAGTGGCGCTATGGCTCAAGTGGTAGAGTGCTTGCCTTGAGCTGAAGAGCTGAGGGACAGTGCCAAAGCCCAGAGTAAAAGCCCCACAACTGACTAAAAAAAGTAAATAAAAATAAAAATAACGAACAAATAGATCTGGAGCCATGGCTTGAGTGGTAGAGCCGTATCTAGCAATTTCAAGGTCCTGAGTTCTAACTTTATACTGTCCTCCCCCAAAAGACTTAACTATAGATGAAACTATTTGCTGTTATAAACTATAAAGTAAACAGCTGAACACTGATGATGATTAAAGATTCCCATAGAAAAAAAATAATTTTTGTGCCTGGAATTTAGAAAATAAAGATGTAATCTTACCTTGGAACTGCTGTTTAGTCTTCTTTATTTCTGTCATGGGAAAAAAAAAAAATTCCTGTGAAAGTCCATTAAATGGGATAGAATTCAGAGAAGAGTGTCTACCCTATTTCTTTAGTTTGGTTGAGAGGTAAGAAGGAACAAAAAAATGGCAACCAAATTTTTTTGAGTGTGATAGTACTGAGGCTTAACTTCGTTCGGGTCCTGGTACTCTTGTTTAGCTGTTTTGTTCAAGGCTGGTGTTTAGCTCCTGGCTAGCACTTTACTACTTAAGCCATACCTCCACTTCTGGCTTTTTCTGGAGATAAAAGTCTCAATTTGTTGCTACAAATGGGGATTACTGGATTACCAGTTGTGAGCCACCAGCACCCACCTTGGAAGTAACTACTTTTTATATTACTGAAGAAATTCAGTTATGAGAAAAGTCAAAATTCTGGGTGAGGTAATTACCACCTCACTCCCAACAGAATTGTAATTTAACCACTATATTGCCTAAGGGCATCATAAGAAATTCAGACAATTGTTTCCTTATACATTTTACCTTTGTCTTGGGTGGGGGGGCAGTTCATGAGAAATAAGAAAGTCTGAGGAAGAGTAATGCTTGGTAAATTTTTGTTTCACATATAGATTATACCATGGTTCCATACACTTCCATCCTAAGAGTGTAGTTTTGTTTTTTTCTTTAATGGAATAAAGGCAAGGGATATTTCTGATATCAGTCCTGATATATTGTCATTTTTCCCCTGGAACTATTGTTTCAGCTGTTGGATTTTCCATTTTGTATACTGCAAAAGTTCCTAAGCAACTCAAATTTGCAAACCCAACTATGGATACACTATCTTAGGATAGTTACCTAGGACTCTGGGTCTCTGGGTTTTGTTATTCTCCCCTCCTCTCTTTCTTTTTACATATAACTAACAACACTGCTGGTAATAGGTTGATTTATGAGTTATCCATAGTTTGTGGATGATGGTGTGTAGCCTCTAGTTTGAAGCAAGGGAAGAATGAGTAGTCAGGAACTGGTCACTTTGAGCATGGGAGGGAAGATATTCACAACAAGACTTTCTGCCATAAAGCAATTTCCTACCTCTTGATTGGCCCGAATGTTAGATGGCAGAGACCAAGAATTCAGCATGGTTGGTGGCCAAATTTTTGTTGACAGAGATGGTGTTCTATTTAGTTTCATCTTAGAGTTTTTGAGAAGTCGCCAGCTTTTATTACTCTCTGACTTTTCAGACTATAGTAGACTTCAGAGAGAGGCTCTTTTCTATGAACTTGATTCTCTGGTTGATCTCTTAAATAAACTAGCATTTGCAACAAGAAAGACCTGTTCTCCTGAAGGTACATTTTTTTAAACCAAAATACTCAAGCTTTTTTCAGTGTTTGGCTCCTGCAGCAAAGCAATTGAGATGCTAACTAGAAGGATTAGTGTTCATAGAACAACCTACAGCACCTACTTGGAGTAGTACCTCTTTCTCTGCTCAGATGACCTTCCTTTCACTATCTCCACAAAGACCTTCTTATCATGACCTGGCTTTCCAATGTGGCTCTGACAACATTGATAAGCAAACCGGAATCAGGTATTAGTTCCTTATGCCTAAAACTGTCCTTGGAAGAAACGCTTGATCAAACTAGTCTTTTGGAGTAACCAGTAGAGTTGGGTAGACAATTTTTTTTTCTAAATCTGGACAACACTGCTGAGAGTACTGTTGGGATGTGGAACAATAGGATTAAACCAAGACTGCCCAAGGTAAACTGGGACTATAGTCTTGTAAATTAAAAAAGGAAATAGTTTAATATTTAGATTATATTCCATTGCTAGTGAATTTGGCTTGGAAGTGAATCCCCTTATATTCTCAGTAGATTATTTTATGCTTCCATATTGGAAAGGTTCAACAGTTTCACCTGATTTCCTTACACAGCGTTTGTTCTTTCAGTACTTTGATTCTGATTTTTATTCAGTGGAGAAGATGAAATACCATTAAATACCTTTGTCTCATGGCGAATTTGGTGTCCTGTTAATACTGTGGCTTTTATACTGGAATGGGCTCTCAGAATATTAAGGACTGCTCCTGAGTTGTTTCTTCTTTGGTTCTTGGCTGTATCCCAAGGCTGATTTCTACCATGTAGTTGGAGACATGCTCCCTTAAAAATGTCTTAATTATTTTTATTAAATGTGAAAGCAAGTATTAATTTTTAAGAGGAAAAAAAAAGCATGTATGTGTGTTTTTTTTTTTTTTGGGTCCGGTCGTGGGGCCGAACTCTGGGCCTGGGCGCTGTCCCTCAGCTCAAGGCTAGCGCTCTACCACTTGAGCCACAGCATCACTTCCGGCTTTTTTCTTTTATGCTTATGTGGTGCTGAGGAATCGAACCCAGGGCCTCGAGCATGCAAGGCAAGCGCTCTACCACTGAGCCACCTTCCCAGCCCTCATGTATGTGTTTTTAAACAGCATTTAAAACATTAAAAAAAAATAAAGGTAGACAGTACTTTCTTAACTTCAGCAGTAGCCATCAGGAAGGGATACCACTGTTTATTTCTCCCACAACATAGTCACTGATCTTGGCTTACCAACTGGAGAACACTGGGCAGTATAATTGAGTATGACAATATTTTTTATTTTATTTTCCAGTACTGAGGCTTGAACTACAGACTGTGCTCTTCCTGAGCTTATTCCCTTCTTGGCTGGTACATTACCTCCAGTTTTGTGCTGTTTAGTTGGAGATAAGAGTCTCATGGATTTTTCTGCTTAGGCCAGCTTTGAACCAATATTCTCACATCTCAGCCTCTTGAGTAATGTACTGGTGCTTGGCAACCTTACTTAAAGATTTTATACCTTATAGTTTCCTGTCCTTCCAAACCAGTTGAAGGCTGGGGGCTTAGTTCAAGTGGTAGAGTGCTTACCTGGTAAACACAAGGCTATAAGTTCAAACCCTAGTATGGACAAAACAAAACTGAAGAAAACCAAATAGGTTATGAAGAAAATCTAAGAACTTAGTTTTTTTTTTTGTTTTTTTTGCCTGTCATGGGGCTTGAACTCAGGGCCTGGGCATTGTCTCTGAGCTTCTTTGGCTCAAGGCTAGTGCTCTACCACTTGAGCCACAGTGCCACTTCAGGCTTTTTTTCTATTTATGTGGTACTGAGGAATCGAACCCTGGGCTCCATGCATGCTAGGCAAGCATTCTACCACTAAGTCACATTCCCAGCCATAAGAACTTACTTTTATTAAACTGTTTTATTGTGCACGGCTTTTTATTGGTGGAATACTTACATGAGAAAAATGTTAGAGACATAAGGAAAATGGTGTTAAGAAAGTTCCCAAAGAAACAGGCTAGGTTAAAAAGGAAGTTTGAAATGCTTTTTAAAAACTGTTCACTTGAAGAAAGTAATTATAATCTTAAAACAATCAGAACTGAAACTAGACTATTCTTGTTGATACATATTGCCAAATAGTTCCTACCTTTTAAAACTATATTTTAGAAATAGCAAAGTTTTTTTTTTTTTTTTAACATCTTAGTATTTCAACTGGGCGCTGGTGGCTCACACCTGTAATCCTAGCTTCTCTGGAGGCTGAGATCTGAGGATTGCGATTCAAAGCCAGCCCAGGCAGGAAAGTCCGTGAGACTCTTTTTTTTTTTTTTTGTCCAGTCGTGGGGCCTGAACTCTGGGCCTGGGCACTGTCCCTTAGCTCTTCAGCTCAAGGCTAGCGCTCTACCACTTGAGCCACAGCGCCACTTCCGGGTTTTTTCTTTTTGCTTATGTGGTGCTGAGGAATCAAACCCAGGGCCTCATGCATGCAAGGCAAGCGCTCTACCACTGAGCCACCTTCCCAGCCCCATGAGACTCTTATCCAATAAACCACTAGAAAACTGGAAGTGGCGCTGTGGCTCAAGCGGTAGTGCACTAGCCTTGAGCTGAAGAGCGCAAGGACAGTGCCCAAGCCCAGAGTTCAAGCCCCATGACCGAAAAAAAAAATAAATAAACAAAAATAGTATATTATTTAATCTTAAACAATAGTTTAAATATACTTAAATATTCATGTCAACATTTTGGGAATATTTTCAGTTGTTTAAATGACAGACTGCCTGGTGCTGGTCGCTCACACCTGTAAGCCTAGCTGGTCAGGAAACTGAGATCTGAGGGTTGAGGTTTGAAGCCAGCCCAGGCAATTAAGTCCATGAGAATTTTCTCTCCAATTAACCCACCAGAAAATGGGAAGTAGAGCTGTGACTCAAAGTATTAGAGCAGTAGCCATGAGCAAAAAGGTCAGGGACAATGTCCAGACTGAGTTCAAGCCCCATGACTGACCAAAAACAAAACAAGACGAAAAAAAAGGTTCATAATTTTTTTCTCTCCTGTATGTTTCTTTTTTTGAAATGTCAGTTTCAAAGGAGATATAAAGTCATATGGAAATCTATGGTGACTGGGTGAAAACCCTGACCCTAAAAGGCCCACGTTTGTGTATATAACTGCATAAAGAACAATTATTTTTACTTTTTGCTCACTTCTTGGTTTGAATTTATCCAGATATTTTTGAAAGGTAGAAAAATGGAAGAATAAGCCTTCTACTGTTAGAGTGGTGTGTCATCTAACTTTTCTTTTTTTTTGGTCAGTTGTAGGGCTTGAACTCTGGACCTGAGCTCTGTTCCTCAGCTCTTCAGCTCAAGGCTAGTGCTCTACCACTTGAGCCACAGCGCCACTTCCGGTTTTCTGGTGGTTTATTGGAGATAAGAGTTTCATGGCCTTTCCTGCCTGGGCTGGCTTTGAACCCCGATCCTCAGATCTCAGCCTCCTGAGTAGCTAGGATTACAAACATGAGCCACTGATGCCTGGCTGGCATATAATTCTTGAACTACAATAATTTATAAAGTGATTTTGGAAAGTCTACAAAGATTTTCTGAAAAGAAAGAGCTAAGTTTTATTCTTAAATTTAACGTATGATTATAAAGAGTTCTTAGTTTATGGTAAAGTTGGAACTTTTTCTCTTGAAATCAGGAACCTGAAGTAGTATATCATAGTATAGGGAATTAGAATTTATTTTTTTTGTATACCATTTACATCTGACAAATTTCAGCATTGTTCTAAAAGCTTTTGTGCAAATTTTCTATTACAATAAGAAATAGTTCCAGTATTAGAAATATATCACTAGAGTCTGTGCTACAATAATAAGATTTACCAGAAGTATTTTTGTGCTGAAAAAAGTTGATTGTAACATCAAGTTCAGTAAAGTACATGCTGCTAAGAGGGAACTTTCACAAAGAAATTTAGGAAATTTAGGGTCTGGGAAGTTGGCTCAGTGGTAGAGGGCTTGCCTTGCATGCCTGAGGCCCTGGGTTCGATTCCTCAACACCATATAAGCAAAAAGAAAAAAGCCAGAAGTGGCACTGTGGCTCAAGTGGTAGGGCACTAGCCTTGAGCTGAAGAGCTGAGGGACAGTGCTCAGGCCCAGAGTTCAGGCCCCATAACCGGACCAAAAAAAAAAAAAAAATTAGGAAATTTATTACCTTTCTACAGTGTGTGTGTGTGTGTGTGTATGTATGTGAGAGAGAGAATATGAGAATTGAACTTATTTTTTAAAGTTCAAAAGATAGAAGAGATAAAAATACATAGCTGAAATGAGAGTTCTGATATATAAGTGATGTAGTTAAAAACACACACACACATACACACAATTTACCCATCAGCTTTGCTCAGAACTTCACTTCAAAATGCATAGGGCCTTCTAATGAAAAGTTACAAATATAACTTAAAACTCATTTAAAATGCCTTAGTATATTTCTCTAAACTTTGAAAAATGCCTTAATATATTTCTCTCTTTTTTTTTTTTGTCGGTCGTGGGGCTTGAACTCTGGGCCTGGGCGTTGTCCCTCAGCTCTTCAGCTCTAGGCGAGCACTCTACCACTTGAGCTACAGCGCCACTTCCGGTTTTCTGGTGGTTTATTGGAGATAGGAGTCTCACGGTCTCTCCTGCCCGGGCTGGCTTTGAACCGCGATCCTCAGATCTCAGCCTCCTGAGTAGCTAGGATTACAGGCGTGAGCCACCAGCGCCCGGCTTCTTTTTTTTTTTTCTTAATATATTTCTCTAAACTTTGATTTTGATCCAATTCACAAAAATCATTCAATGGGTTAACAAGCTAAAAGGTTTCATGGGTAAAAATGGGAAATAAGTGCACAGAATAAAACAAGAAGTAAACATGTGGGTGGCAAAATAAATAGGACTTGATTTCCAAAAATAAAATATGCCTATGATTTATCTAACCATTCATGAGTTTTGGGTAGGCAGACTTCTACACTTTCAAATTTTACACAAACATCTCAGATTCCAACATCATTAAGACTTTTACTCAGCTGAGTTAAAATATACCATGTCTACAATTTCTTGTTCCTCAAAATTTCACACCACTTCAGGAAAGAACTTCAATTTCTTTGAGTACTCAAGTAGGGACTTAAATGGAGAGGCTTGTCTTAACCTATTTGGAATAAAAGACCCCAAAAAAGTTGGTCACAATGTCTAAGGTTTCTTGGCTCTTTTAAGAGGGGAAATAGAATTGTGATTCATTAGTGGTCTTTCTATTCTCCCACACTGCTCAGCTATGAATAGGCTTAAACAGAAACATTTGGAAGTTACACTCTCAGTTAACAAACAGAAAAATAAGACTTAAAGCAGATTCAAAGATGTTTGAAGTTCAAGTAACAGATTATAGGTATTTTCCATTAGAAGCTTACTTAATTTCACATCTAAAATATGAATATACATATAGAACACAAACTCATTAACAACTATACCAAATTATACAAATAAACACAGTATACTAGCCCAGCCCAAACTGTAATAGACAATTTGCTAACAAAAATAAAAGGGACAAAAGTGCTTCGCAAGTTTAGAATGAATGTCACATGACTATAATTGATATTAAATTACTACTTACCTCTGTGATTAGGAGCTATGAAAAGATAGAAGTCAGCAGATCAGGCATGTAAGTCAGAGGAAACTAGGACATAAAAAAA